GGACTATCTCATTTTTAAGATCAACTGTTATTCTTTTGTTTTACGACACAGGACGACAGTGATGTAGAATGGAAGTTTGCACGTTCAAAACTTTGGTTATCCTATTTTGATGATGGAAAAACATTACCTCCACCTTTCAGTCTAGTTCCTAGCCCCAAATCCTTTGTTTATTTCTTTATGCGGATCATCAACTTTTCCAAATGCAGAAGGAGAAGGTTCCAGAAGGATATAGAAATGGGAATGGGTAACTCAAAATCCAGGGTAGGTATTGAAAACTTACTAAGACTTTAAAATGAATATTTTGTCTCTTTCTCCTTGTCTGTGGCTGTTTGTTCAGTACTTTCTCTGTATGTGAATTCAGAAGACGTTCGCAGTGACAGTCCCTCCCATGGTCTTTCATAGACTAATTCTTAAGGATCATGATGTTTCAAGAAGTCACTTAGTCTAGGACCTGTTTGTGGTCAGAATTCCCTGTAAACGACCAAGCTAAAAGCAACCAAAAAAGCGCTTAACTTCTAAATAGTAAGCAGAAAAGTGATTGTTTAGCAAACCCTTGTGCTGTTCATGTGTCCCATGTCTCTCAATTGTTCTGCAGACATCCAAGCCTTGTAGTCTCAGATTTTCCTCTTGGTGTATGTATCGTTCACCATCATCATATCCGTCCTCTCAGTGGAAAATCTTTCTTGGACTCAAGAATATTTTCCCTTTAATAAAATTCACACAGGCTCCAAGCATCCTCAAATGATAACCACAAATATCCCTTTGTATGTTAAGCAGAAATGGTTGTTGTCCCATTTGGGTCCTACTTTAAGCAAATAAAATTATTTTCACGGCATAGAATTGAAATTATGAGACCAAAGGAGATAGACAGAATCTCATGTAATTGCGAGAAAAGGCAGATAGGAGCAAATATGTGGGGTTGAGATCTAATGTTTGCCTCAATGTGGAGGTGCAAGATGGGAATGACCCCGAACTGAGAGTCCCCAGAAAGACACAAAGTAGTCACGTTCTCGCCATACAGTAGACTTTGCTGAGCACAGGAAGACATTTTTACTTCTTTGAAACTGAGAGCAAAGATAGGGTTAGCGCAATCTGATTTCTTGCTTCTTAAAACACATGAAATTTTCAAGATTTGCAATGGGCTGGCATTTTAACCCCTAAGTGACCTTTTTAAACACATTTTTGCATTTGACCTGGATGTGGGCTTTTAAGGCAATTAGCTTGTTAGCCATTGGTTGGCTCTGACATCTTCTGGTGGATATAGCAAGAAACTCTGTAATGTCAGGGAAGAGCCTGGGCAGTAGGCCTGCATTTTGAATTCTGCCTCTGATGGCTTATTAACAAGTCACACATATAAGGCACTGAACCACTCAGAGTCTCAGTTGCCTCATCTGAAAGTGGAAACCCTGGAGCGGTCATGTGAGAATCATACGCGGAATGTCAAGTACCAGCCTCAACAAATATCAGTGCCCTTCCTCCTTCACAGTTTGCAAAGTGCTTTGCTGATCATTTGAACCATATGCAGCACTGGGAGGTAGGTACCCTTACTATTCCCATTTCATAGATAAGTCAGCTGAAGTAAATCACTGCTCAGGTAAATCCCTTCCGTAAGACCGCACTGGCTGGTCAGCGCAGGCCTGGAACTCACATTCACTAACACCTGTCGCTCTTTTCTGCTCCTGCACCTGGCTGTCTCTGATGTGCTCAGCGCCTGGCGCCATGGCCCGATGGCTGCTGCTTCCTCACCACAGACAGGGCCTTAAAATGGTCTCTTAAAGGGCCCAGGCTTTACTTGACCTTTGGGGCAGCGCTTGCTATTATTGCTCAATTGGACTTGGCGTTGAAGGAGCTTTGTTCCCCAGCAATGTGTTCTCAGAGACATTAATTTCAGAGGAACACACCCCCAGGGTGGGCACTCACTGCGCTCGCATTTCACACAGTACAGCTTGACGTTTTCTTTCCGCTGGACTCCACCAGCGTCTCTCCTGATCCTGTTGCAGCAGGGAAGGGGGAATTACCAAGAGCGAGGCGTAATTGTAAGAGCACACGGCCGGCATCACGCAGCCGGTGCCTTGTCGCTAGTGGTGCGATGCATGCAAAGAAACGGCAGTGTGTACACTGGAGTGTAAGGGAAGCAGCCATGCTCTCGAACCGCAGACCAAAGAAGAGCTTTTCTCAGAGGCCTGGGAATGAAGGCTGGACCCTCACATCCAGGACCCATGCTTGCTGGCTTCTCATGTTACCCATTTCTGCTTAAAAACTGCTGATTTGACATAATTTCTTAAATTGTGCATGAATTTATTTAATTCCCTTTAATCCTATTTCTATTCATAGACACTTTGCAGCAAAAATTGTGAGAACTTGTGAGAACTTATATTTGGTTGGGGGGGGTGGGGATGGGGAGTGGAAGGAACATCATTTAGAGCGAGCCCTTGCAGCTCACCTCAGTCAGGAGTGAGATACTGCCCTCCTGTGGCAGACAGAAGAATGACCTTTGTTAGTCCCGGTTTTCCTTCCTGAGGAAAGCGTAAGGGAGCAGTCAGGATGGTCCCTTCCTACCAGTAGCACTTCCTTCGTTGCTAACATCCCAGTAAAGGTGGGACGTCAAGAGGTGAGCGGAATATAGGTTGTTTTTCAATAGAATCCCACCTTGTGGGTCTCCGCTTGCCCATCAGTCAGAAGCCGGAGCAGAACAGACAAGAGTGCATAAAGTGTAACATAATGCTCCCTGCGGACAGCTCCTCCCCACTCAAGTCAAACCTGGAAAAGAAAAAAGAAAGCCCAACACTTCTGTCCACATCTTCCCCAAAGCTGGCTCACTCTAAGGCCAAGATTCTTAGGAAGTTGGACACTTTGAGCTTACATTTTAAGATGACAAAATTGCCAAATGCTAACATCCAAACTTGCAGGGTGTTTGCGTTATTAGGGGAACATGGGTTGAAGGTCAGATAGAATGATTTCTGTGAAATATAGTTGATGCTGTATCCAAAGTCTCCAGGAAGAAAAAAAAGTTTATTGTGAGCCAATTTTAAAAATAGACAGCTTTCATTAAGCAGTTCCATTATAGAACTTTTAACCAGCATTTTGATCATTGTGGGTATGGTACTCCATTAATTCTTACCCTTCGAATTACACAGAACCATTTAAAAAGCTCAACTCTCATAAAATGTTCTTCCACAATGTTATCCAGGAGAATACAACTTTTTTTTTTCATTTCCAAACAAATGTATTCTAATTTACTAGGTTAATTGTATTTTTTCCTAGTTAAACCTCTTCACTCAATCTAACTCAAGAGTTTTTGAATCACACAGTTTTAACAGCATTCTCAACCAGCCAACACGCTATCAGGTAAGAATTCATTAGATGTATCACTAATGTATCTGTAATTCCATATATGTCTATGTGTGTGCGTGTGTGTTTGTGTTTCTGAGTAGTGAGTAGAATTATATTCTTCAGGTGCCTTGAATAGGGAAAATATTTTAATTGTCAAGGACTTTAGAAATCAGAGTACAAGCCTGTTGCTTATTAAGTTAAGGAGGAAAGGTTCTTTTTGTGATATTGCATTATTTCCAAAAAACACTTACAAATACTGTGAGCAGGAGGAGGCATGGTATATTAGGATAAATAATCCTTTCACAGTAGAAGATATGAAAGCCTGACATATTTCTCCAGGTTTTTCATGTTCCAAGTGAGTTGTCTCATTAGAATGGCTTGAAGATATCTTTTGCATTGTGATATTGACAAATGATATTTGAACATTAATCTGCAACTCAGAAGAGGTGATAGATATTTCTTTTCTATCTGGTTGGTCAAATCAAATGTTTAGACTCCAGAATCCTGGGGATTTATTTCAATTCTTCTGTCTTTTTGAAATTTTGTATTTTCCAGGGAGAATAATTTCTTATGCCTGCGATGTAGTCTAGAACAATGATTAGAAAAAGAGAAGATGAAAATAAAGTATTAATCAGCAATAAACATAGCAGTTAAAACCTCATATACATGCCTCTCTTAGAATTAGGAAATCTTTGGGTGTAAATATTAATTTTCAATCAAGGATTCTTATTTTATGAGGTGTGATTCCAGTATACAGGGCTTATATTAAAAAAGAAACAACTTTACAACTTAGGCTACTGAATGGAAATTTTTTTTTTAATTTGGGGGAAATGACTTCTATACTTAGTTTATACGATACACAAAGTATTTTAAAAATTATTTTCTAGATGCTAAATTTAGCTCAGTCCTCATATTGCTAACAAAACTCAGTGCCATCTGACTTTACATTCTTTGAAAAATAATCCTATCTGCCTTCCAAAACCATGTGACCTTCCTCAAACTGGCCTTCAAGGGTACACTTCTTCAAGTGAATTGCTTTAAAAAGACAGATTTAAATATACCTGGAGGAGCAACAGAGGAAGCATTTCAAAATGCTTTGAAACAATGACAGCATTATTTATGTTCACATTAATTATTAGCAAAATACGGAGTATTACTTTTATGTGTGTAAGCATTCTTTTTACCTGAAGCTGATTTTCTTAAGCGACCATCAGAACTTGAGCAGCTGGCTCCAGTTGGGTCCCCACGCGTGTTAGCACTCTCTTATTGACTCTCTGCACCAGTTTGGTCCTTTCAAGTACAAAGTGCACCAAAAGGTAAAGGTCCCTAGTAGTATACAAACCGCCTGTGTTCCACTAGTAACCTCAAGAGCAGTGGTTCAAACCCATCCAACACCCAGAAGAACAGTTTGACAATCTGATTCCCTAAAGATTACGGCCAAGAAAAGCCAGAAGTACTTCCTAGTCTATAACACATGGGATCAACATGAGTTGGAATTGACTCAATGACCATACTTTTTGTATGCTAAGATAACATTAAGAAATAAGAATTTCTTTTAAGACTCTACAGAAGTTGTGCTGTCCATTGTCTCTTGTGGCAACTCTGTTTTAACAGTTTCGCTTTATTTGAGAATGACTTTGACCCAGGCAATGCTAGGCTGTCTAGCAAAACCAAACTCACTGCCATCAAGCCAATGCCGACTCATAAGGACCCCATATAAGACAGGGTAGACTGCCTTTGTGATTTCCTCAGACCCTAACTCTTCACAGGAGTAGAAAGCCCTGTCTTTCGCCCATGGAGCAACTGGTGGTTTAGAACTGCTGACCTTGCAGATGGCAGCCCAACACAGAACCACGGCACCACTAGCACTCCTGCTTTCGACGACAGGGATCGCAGCCTTCAGTATGGATTATAATTCCATATAAAGAAAACTTAAATCTCTACAACTGGACCAACAAACAGAAACGATTGAGGTCCATGATTTTATCTTGCTTGGATCCACAGTCAATGTTCATGGAAGCCATGGTCAAGAGGTCAAAAGATGCGTTGCTGCACAAGATCTATTTAAAATGTTGAAAAGAAAAGATGTTACTTTGAGGACTGAGGTGTGCCTGACCCAAGCCAGGTATGCATGTGAAACTGGGACCTTGAATAAGGAAGAACGAAGACAAATTGATGCATTTGCATTATGGTACTGGCAAAGAACATCGACAGTTCCACTGACTGGCAAAAGAACAAACACATCTGTCTTGGAAGAAAAGTATTGCCAGAATGCCTTAGAGTGAAAATGGCAAATTTTCCTCTCGTGTACTTTGAACACGTTGTCAGGAGAGACCAGTCCCTGGAGAAGGACATCCTGCTTGGCAGAGTGGAGGAGCAGTGAAAGTGAGGATGGCCCAGAGGAGATGGAGCCAGGTAGTGGTTGCAGCAATGAACTCAAGCATAAGACCAGCGGTGAGGCTGCTGGTGGGCATACAGTCACTATGAGTCAGAACCAACCTTGACGCCACTTAATACCAACTTCTTTATGTTTGCCCAATGAATCTAGGCTCATGCCTAGAAAACAGGATCATTCCTGGAAATTTCAGGATGTGGAAGTTAATCTATAGATTTCCATTGTATTGACTGGCAAATTGACCATACAGTAATATGCAAACTGTTACTGGTCAATTTAATGTTAAGGTACGCTAAAAATGTGTGTGTGTTAGAAAAATCAGTGAAAGGCTGTTCCCAAGGAGGTGGAAATTAAAGGTGTCCCAAATGTTCAACTTTTCCAAAATGCTATACTACTCCTTTTCTTAATATATTCCCTCCCATCCCTGAGTTCTACAGTTCACCAGAATGTCCTCAATTTATAGAATGCATGAAGCGTTATAGAAATATCCCCCATGGGTGTGGGTACTGAGAAGTCCCAAGCCCAAGGTTAAACAGCTGTCTGTCTGAAGGATCCTCCTTATCCACAAGGCTGTAGGCCCTGGGCGAATCAGGTGAGGTGGTATCAGCCGTAACTCAAGTCCTAAGAACCAGAAGCCAGTCCAGTGCCAGACGCCAAAATATCTGAAAGTCAGCAGGTCTTTTTGCTTCTGTGACTGCTCAGTCAGCATGGGGAGGTCAAAGAACAAATGGCTTTTATGGAGTTGTGTGTTTTACCTTATGTAGACCGTATCCCCAAGGAAACTTAAATCATACCTTTTAGTAAGATTCAGGCTCAAAATACATCCCACCATAATCCTATAAATTAACATAATAAAGAAATCCCAACAAAATGGGATTGTAGACATAATCATAGAGGCTCAAATTTGTAATGTATCACAGAGGAGAGTACGAATTGACTCCCTCTCAGACTCTTACTAGCACGGGTTAAAAATCAGTTGGAAATTTAGTTGAAAGTAATCATTCAGAAGGAGCTTTCTTTTACTTGCGACCTTTGCGTCTCATCCTCCTTTCCTTCAGGAAGAGAGGCTTTTTGGTGGCCATTCCAAAGAAAGCTAATAAAACATATTGTGGAAATTATATATTGATATCAGTCACATCGTGTATCAGTCACATTTTGCAGATGATATTTCAAAGGTGGCTGCAGCAACTCATTGGCAGGGAACTGCCAGAGAAGCAGGCAAGATTATGAAGAGAACCTGGAATAAGAAATCATTTGGTGACAAAGCTGGGTCTTGACTGAAAGCACAGAATACTGACAAGAGGTTTCTTTGACTATACAGAGGTATTTGACTGTGTCGGTCCTACAAAATTATGAATGGCATTTCCAAGAATGAAAATTCCAGACCATGTCATTGTGCTCATGCAGAACCTCTACAGATAACAGAAAATCAAACAGGGGGACACTGTGTGGCTTCAAATGAGGAAAGGTGGTGCCACCTTGTACCCTTTCACAATATTTTTTAGTCTATATGCCACGCAAATCATCCGAGAAGCTGGGCTACCTGAAGAATGCAGCCTCAAGACTGGAGGAAGGCTTGTGAACAACCTGCAGTACACAGACGACACAACTCTGTTTGTTGAAATCCAAGAGGATGTGAAGTACCGGCTGACGAAGAGCCAAGATGACCCACTTCATGAAGGTTTACACCTCAACAGACATAAAGCAAAGATCCTCACGGCTAGACCAGTCAGGAGCCTCGTGATAGACAGAGAAAAGATTGTAGCTGTCGAGGATTTCCTTTTATGTGAACTGCCTGTGGAAGCAGTCATCGAGAAACCAGACAAGGCACCGTAACGGGCACATCTGCACAAAGACTTCTATAAGGTGTTAAAAAGCAGAGATGCCGCTTTGAAGACCATTGTGCACCCGACTCAAACCCCAGGGTACTTTCAGTGGCATCAGCCATGCATACAA